GTGTGTGGGAGAGATAATTTGTATGAGAGAGAGAGAATTTGTGTGTGAGAGAGAGAATTTGTGTGTGAGAGAGATAACTTGTATATGTGAGAGAGGATTTGTGCGTGTGTGAGAGAGAATTTGTGCGTGTGTGAGAGAGAATTTGTGCGTGTGTGAGAGAGAATTTGTGCGTGTGAGAGAGAGAATTTGTGTGTGTGTGAGAGAGAATTGTGTGAGAGAGAATTGGGTGTGCGAGAGAGTGATAGAATTTGTATAAGTGTGACAGATAATTTGGGTGTGCAAAAGATAATTTGTGTTGGAGAGAATTCTTGAGTGCGAGAAAGAGAATTTGTGTGAGAGGGAATTTGTGTGTGCGTGTGTGAGAGGGAGAGAATTTGGGTGCGTGTGAGAGTTAGAATTTGTATGAGTGTGCCAGAGACCATTTGTGCGTGAACGAGGGAATTTGTATGTGAGAAACAGAGAGAGAATTTGTGAGAGAGAGAGTGAATAATGTGCGTGAGGATTTGTGCTTGTGACAGAATTTGTGCGTGATAATTTGTGCTGGTGAGAGAGAATTTTTGTAAGACACGGAATTTGTGTGTGAGAATTTTGTGTGTTGGAGAGAATTCGTGAGTGCGAGAAAGAGATTTGTGCATGTGTGTGTGTGCGAGGGAGAATTTGTGCGTGTGTGTGAGAGAGAGAAAATTTGTGTGTTAGAGAGAATTGGTAAGTGCGAGAAAGAGAGAATTTGTGTATATGTGTGTGCGAGGAAGAATTTGTGCGTGTGTGTGTGAGAGAGAGAATTTGTGTGTTAGAGAGAATTGATAAGTGCGAGAAAGAGAGAATTTGTGTATATGTGTGCGCGAAGGAGAATTTGTAAGAGATCGTTTTCGTGTGCGTGTGAGAGAGAGCGATATTGTAAGTGCTTGTGTGTGTGCGTCTGTCTGTTTTAGAAGTAAAGGAAAAGATCTCTGCGCTGCGTGCCTTTGCCAGCGAAGTTTTATGTGAGATTTTATAAGCGCTGGAGATGTATTTATTGAAGTCGAAAAGGGAAGCTTTGTTATCCCAAATACTTTTATGATGGGAACCAGCCTTTGAGTGGGAGGATTAAAGCAACAACATCGGACCCAGCTCTCGGCATCGGAGAGTCTGTGAAATTTTAAAGACTCTGAAACTCGAAGTCGCTTTCAATGAAAAGGGCTTGTTAAACCGAAAAAAAAACCCTTTCTCCTCCCTCCCCCACCCTCCTTCTCTCGCTGCTAAGTTTAATTGAGCGTAGTATTACAACGGTTTTCACATAATTATCACTGGACCGTTCCCAATCGTTGAAAATAATTTCTGTGGACACACACACACACGCATACACTCTCTTTCACACGCACACACAAATCTCTGTTTGAGCAAAAAAAGTACTGACAGACCGCAAAGGCAACTGCTTTGAAAAAATTACGCGTTAAAACGATAACCTGACGTACACGAATTTGTGTGTATTTCCTTTAAAAAAAATCCGGGAGATCTATAAAATGATGAGATATATTTACGTGTCAGAATAATCACAGCGTCACAAACCGGAGTTTAAAAATGCCGTGGGGTCTACACAGTGATTACTTTGAGAAATTTACAGGCTGAAATAATCACGAGAGAGAGGCGCACACACAAACACAAAGATGTATTTTAAAAACTCGGGAATCTACACAGCGATAACTTTGAGGTATTTATAAATTAAGTAATCACGAGAGACACATGCAATCTGTGTTTATAAGTACCGGGGGATCCATACGGAGATTACTGTGAAATAGTTACATATTTTTAAAATAGTCATCACGGACACAGATCCGTGCGTAAAAACCTGGTGGAATCTATGGGGAAATTACTTTGAAATATTTACATGTTAAAATAATCGCAAGACGCAAGTCTGGATTTAAAAATAAGACCGGGCGATCTGCAGAGCTTTGGCACAAGCTGTGTTAAAATGATCACTGCAGACAAACACACAAATCTCCGCTTTTAAAAAGTACTGGGGATCTATTACAGTGGTTGTGTTGTGATTTTGCATGCTCCAATAAATCCCACAGACAGAAACACACAGACACAAATTTGAGTTGCAAACATGGAGGGGGAATCTGTGCAATGATTACTCTGAATTATTTCCATGTTAAATTAAACACAGGTCTGTGTTTAGAAGGACTGAGGGGGCTATAGTTTTGAAATAGTCTGTGTTAAAATAATCACGAGACCAAAAGACAAAACAGTTTTTTTTAAAAACCTAGGGGATCTACAGAGCTTTGAAACGATCTGTGTCAATATGATTGCAACAGACAAACGCACAAATCACTGCTTTATATAAAAACAAATAAAAACTGGAGATCTATACAGTGGTTACGTTGTGATATCTGTATGTTAAAATAATTCCCACAGACAGAAATACACAGACACCAATTTGAGTTTTAAAAGTGGGGGGAATCTGTGCAGTGATTACTTTGAAGTATTCCCATGTTAAATTAAACACAACTCTGTGTTTAGAAGGACTGAGGGGGCTATAGCTTGGAAACAGTCTGTGTTAAAATAAGCACAAGAGACCAACAGCTAAAACTGTGTTATAAAAATCTAGGGTATCTACGGGGCTTTGAAACAGTCTTTGTTAAAACAATAAGAGACACACACAATTCTGTCCTTCAAAATACAGTGTTTCCTATGAAATATTTACGCTAAATTATCAAGACGGACACAAGCCGGATTTTTTTTGAAAAAACAAGACGAGAGATCTATGCAGAGATTACTTTGAGCTATTTACATATTAAAATAATTACCACAGATAGAAACACCGAGACACAATTTTAAAAACCTAGGGACCTATATGACAATTACTTTGAGATATTTTCACGCTAAAATAATCACAGGCAAATCGGTAATTTTAAAACCTGCGGGGGATCTACACGACGATTACTTTGATATATTTACATTCTAAAATAATCACACAGACACGCACACACACAAATCTGTGTTTTAAAAACCTGCGGGATTTATACAGCGCCTGCTTTAAACTGTTTACAGAGAGAGTCATAGCGTCGTACGGCATGGAAACAGACCCTTCGGTCCAACTCGTCCGTGTTGACCCAGATATCCTAAATTAATCTAGTCCCATTTACCAGCATTTGACCCATATCCCTCTAAACCCTTCCTGTCCATGTCCCCATCCAGATGTCTTTTAAATGTTGTAATTGTACCAGCCCCCACCCACTTCCTCTGGCAGCTCGTTCCACACATGCATCACCCTCTGCGTGAATAAGTTACTCCTCAGGTCCCTTTTAAATCTTTCCCCCTCTCACCTTAAACCTATGCCCCTCTAGTTTTGGATTCCCCTACCCTGGGGGAAAAGACCTTGGCTATTCACCCTATCCGTGCCAACCATGATTTTACAACCTTCCATAAGGTCACCCCCTCTCAGCCTCCGACGCTCCAGGGAAAATAGTCCCAGCCTCTCCCTATAACTCAAACCCTCCAACCCCGGCAACATCCTTGTAAATATTTTCTGCACCCTTTCAAGTTTAAAGATATCTTTCCTCTAGCAAGGAGACCAAAACTGAACGCAGTATTCCAAAAGTGGCCTGACCAATGTCCAGTACAGCATGTAAAAATGATGACAGGGACACAGACTCTCCCAATGACCTGCGTTTTAAACACCTGGGTGGAGGAGCGGAGGTGGGATTGGGGAGAGAGGGGTGCGGATTTGAAGAGATTTGTAGAGAGAATACCTTGCGATATTTACACGTTAAATAATCTCACACAGAGACACGCGCAACACACACACACACATCTGTGCTTTAAAACGCTGGGAAATCTGTGCAGAGAATACTTTGAGATATTTAATTGTTAAAATGATCTGACACACACAGACAAGCACACACATACATACAGACAAACATCTGAGCTTTAAAAGACTGAGAAATCTGTACAGAGAATACTATGAGATATTTACGTGTTAAAATAATCTGACACACGCACACACATACATACACACAAACATCTGAGCTTTAAAATACTGGGAAATCTGTACAGAGAATACTATGAGATATTTACATGTTAAAATAATCTGGCACACACACACACAAACACACTTTCTGTCTATCACACACACACAGACACACGTAGACAAAAACCCGTGTTTTAAAAATCTGGGAAATCTATAGAGATTAATTTGAGATATTTGCAAGTTTAAATTATGACGCGCGCAAGCAAATCTGTATTTTAAAAACCTGGGGAATCTGTATAGAGGTTGCTTTGAGATTTTTACATGTTAAAATAATCTGACACACACGCAGACAAAAAACCGCGTTTTAAAAATCTGGGAAATCTATAGAGATTAATTTGAGATATTTGTAAGTTTAAATTATGACACGCACACACACAAATTTTATAAACCTGGGGAATCTGTACAGAGATTACTTTGAGATATCTGTTTGCCAAAATGTTCACATTACACACGCTCGCACACAAACCTGTGTTTTGTTTTCTTAAAAATCAACTGGAAAATTAATACAGCGATTACTTTGAAATATTTACACGCCAAGATAGTCCCACAGACAAATCCGTGTCTCTAAGACCTGCGGAGTGTTCTAAACAGCGATCAGTTTGAGATATTTAAATGTCAAGATGATCAGCGGAGACTCACACACTCAAACAATCGCGCTTGAGAGGCCCGTATAAATTATTTGTTTGTATGTGTTTTTTTTTCCATATCCACACCACCTTTCTCCAAAATCACAGACGGGGCCCGGACCAGGAAGAAAAGGTGTCCGTATACCAAGTTTCAAATCCGTGAGCTGGAGAGAGAATTCTTTTTCAATGTTTACATTAATAAGGAGAAGAGAGTCCAACTCTCCCGGATACTGAATCTCAGCGACCGCCAAGTTAAAATTTGGTTTCAGAATCGAAGGATGAAAGAAAAGAAATTAAACAGGGACCGATTGCAGTATTTCTCCGGGAATCCGCTCTTGTGAAATTAACTATCAACACGTATTTGTATGTGTGTGTGTGTGATGTAAACACAGGCAGAGAGAGATGAAGTACTGGGTCCATTTGCGAATAAATACAACTGCAAGAGAGAGAGAGAGAGAAAGCAAAAATGGACCCCTGCTTTATTGTACCCAACCGACCGCATACTCTCTCCTTCCTCAGAGAGAAAAAAAATGTTTCGTACCTCTATCGTATAGAACATTTTGCAGAAAGACACGAACTGTGAAACAAAACAGCACACACATGCACACACAAAAATAAACGAGGTTAGGCGATTATTTTACGCCTTGGAACGGGATGGTCGCGGTGGGGAACGGGCGTATGAATATGCAATGATGTGTTTAATTTGCCTCGGCTGTTCTCACACATGCACACAGACACACACGCGTACACACACACTTAGATATACACACAGACGCAGACACTCACTTAGATAAACATATACAGGCATACACACACACACACGCATTTAGAAAAGACACACTCACTTAGGTACACACATACAGACATACACAGGCATACACACACACTTAGACACACACACACTTAGAAAAGACACACTCACTTAGATACATGCATACAGACACACAGTCATACAGCCACACACTTAGACAAGGCACACTCACTTAGATACATGCAGACACACACAGGCACACATTTATACACACTTAGACACACACGCACACACACACACCTAGACAAGGCACACTCACTTAGATACACGCATACAGACACACAGACGCATACATTTATACACACACACTTAGACAAGGCACACTCAATTAGATACACGCATACAGACACACAGACGCATACATTTATACACACACACTTAGACAAGGCACACTCACTTAGATACACACACACACACACACACACAGGCATGCATTTATGCGCGCACACACACACACACAAAACCAAATGGTATACACAACAGCATTTATTCCAGTTCTCATCCTCGTGCTCTCCTATTCCCACCACACACTCCATTTTTTTTAACCACTTAATATGACCTGCCGTCATTCTGGTTTGTTCTTGTTAACAGGAGGTGTCACCTAGTGTGATTCATGCCCGCAGTAACTCTCTGAATGTAAATCAGTTAATTAATTATGTCAAGGGTTGCCCAGAGTGGCACAGCACAGAACCGGAACTGACCACATTAATGGCTTTAACTGTTTCGGTATATCACTGTTTTGTTATGTGTGTGTGTGTGAGTAC